GAATAATCAATCGTTTATTAATCTCCTCTCTCTTAATAGTCAACAGGGCTTTTTCCAAATTTTTCTTTACTATTTGAACACTACGCTCCGCAGCACCATTACTTTGAGGGTGATATGGAGGTGTCTTCAATGGTTTAATTCCATTTGCTTGACATAATGCCACAAATTCACTGGAATTGAAAGGAGGTCCATTGTCTGAGACTAATTCGACAGGAAGACCAATTACAGTAAACATATCTCTTAATTTTGATATAGTTTCTGATGCCTCTGTACCATTTGACATTAATTTTACATCTAACCATTTAGATTTCTGATCGATTAAAATTAAAAATGTGTACTTAAATTTAACAAAGAAATCTATATATACTCTGTAAAAGTTGTGTGGTGCAGACGGCCACGGACATAATTCCTTGCTTGAATTTGTGAAATTTTGACATTGTTGGCATACATTACAACATGATATGAATTTTTCAATATGTTCATTCACATTTGGCCACCAACAATATGAACGTACCAATATTTTAGTACGAACAATACCATTATGTTGTTCGTGAAATAAGTCTAACACCTTATCTTGTAATTGATTTGGAATAACTACTCTATTTCCCACTAGGATACAATTTTGTTCAATTGACAATTCATTTCTATGTTTAAAGTATGGTTTCAAAGATTCATCACTCACTTTCCTAGGCCAACCTGATAAAATGAAATCTTTTACTTTTAATAACAACAAATCTTTGTTTGTTTCATTTGCAATATGACACGCGTTTAAAGGCATTTGATCTACCAAACTAAAAGAATACAAATAGTCTGTAATTTTTGTATTATCACTACAGGGTAAACGTGATAAACCATCAGCATTGTTAATTGCTGCCCCCTTTTTGTACTGAATATTGTACTGATAACCTGACAGATAGCCCATCTTGTAATTCTTGCAGCCGCTGAAATTGGAATTCCTTTATTTTTTCCAAAGATAAACTGTAATGGCTGATGATCTGTAATCAGTATAAATTTACGACCATAAAGATATTTATGAAATTTATTTAAAGCAAACATAATAGCAAGGGCTTCCCTTTCCAAATTACTATACTTTTTTCTGTACTAGACAATGTACTTGATGCAAACATGACAGGTTTCTCTACATGACCAATTTTATGACTTAAGACACAACCAACACCATAACTACTTGCATCACATGTGACATAAATTGGAAGAGATGGATCATAATGAGTAATAACACTATTAGATGTTAACCACTTTTTACTTTCTTGAAATACTTTATCACATTCAGGTGACCAGCTACTACTGAAATCAATATTATTTTGACACAGTTTGTATAATGGTTTTAATTTGGAAGACAACATCGGGATAAACTTTCCATAGTAATTTAGCAAATCTAAATATGACTTTAATTCAGTTGTATTCTTTGGTGTTGGAGCTGAGTTAATTGCTAGTATTTTTTCTTCAGTAGGATGTATTCCCTTGGCATCTATAATATGACCTAAAAATTCTACTTTAGTTTCGAAAAATTTACACTTATTTACATTCATTTTTACATCATAGTCATGTAAATGTTTCAACACTTTTCTGACATTCTCATAACAATCTATAAGTGACTCACCATATACTAGAATATCATCTAAGTAACATCTAGTATTTTGTACCCCTACCAAAATACTATCCATCACCGACTGAAAAATACTTGGTGCAGAGCTGATACCATAAGTTAGTCTAGTGAAGGCAAACAAACCTATATGGGTGTTTATTACTAACATTTTTTGTGTATTTTTACTGACCTTTAGCTGTTGATAAGAACCTTTTAAATCTAAAACCGTAAAGTATTTATGTCTGCTTAGACATGCGAAGATATTTTCTGGTAATGGTAATGCACATTGATCACTATCTAAGACTTTGTTTAATGTTTTTTTAAAATCTACACAAATTCTTAGTTCCTCAGACAATTTTTTTGGAACTACTACTATGGGACTAGCCCAGTTACTGTAACTGACTTTTTCTAAAATTCCTAACTCCACTAGTTTTTTTATTTCCAATTCAACTTTATCTTTTAGGGCAAATGGCATATCATAGGCCCTATGAAAAATGGGTTTCGCATTTTCTTTTAAATTTAAATCAATTTCAAAACCCTTAATGAATGAATTATTATTCTCATCAAAATCTGATTTAAATTCCCTTTTTAATTGTGAAATTAAACTTGAAGTTTCAAGGTTTTCCAATTCCAGCTGACTAACAAATTCATTATGTGAACAGTTAACTATTTGTCTCCAATTAGGATGCAATACATTTAACCAATTCCTACCCAACAGTGGAGTAAAATTATGTTTACTTTCTAAAATGACAATAGGTAATTTTATAGTATTGTTTTTATATTTTACTAATACATCAGTTTCTCCCACAATTTTTACTCCCTCGCCAGTTAATACCTTTAAACAATACTTAACAGAATAAATATTTAAAGCTGATAAAAACTTTTTAAAGTCCTTTATATGAATTACTGTACGACATGCACCTGTATCAATGTCAAATAAAATTGAATTACCTTCTACTTCTAATACTATTTTCTCTGGAGCTGAATTTTCAGGTTCCAATGAAGACAAGAAACCTAGAAATAATGAATTTTCCTCCTCAATTTCATCCTGTATATCATCTTCTTCTAACAAACTAACTATCGAACGACATACTGCACTTGTATGTCCCACTTTCTTACAACTGAAACATTGCCATGCTTTGGCTGGACATTTTGATGAGTCATGTTTTTTACCACATCTAAAGCATGACTTGGGTTGGACATTACTTCTACCAGTTTGATGGCCATCATCTTTCTTCACTGTTGCTTCCCTCTTTCTGAACATTACTTTATCTAACTTCCCTTCTATTGCCGCTACATTTTCCTGTTCCATCCTTCTAACTTGACCTTCTGTAAGTTCTATTGACAAGGCTATCTCATAAGCTCTTTCAAAGGAAATGTTGTCTTCTGCCAGGAGTTTACGTCTTATTTGAACTGATCGTACACCACATACAAACCTGTCTCTGAGACATTCTTTCAAAAATTGCCCAAATTTACAATATTGAGCAACACTTTTCAGTTTTGACACAAAACTTTTAATATCCTCCTGAGGCTCTTGATTTGTATTGTAAAATTTATACCTTTCAGCGATAACTAACCGCTTTGGACTATAATGTTCAATCAGAACTCTTTTTAACTCCTCAAATGTTTTTGAACTTGGTACCTCTGGTGCTAATAAGTCTTTTAAGACACTGTAAGTCTCTCCGCCAATTAAAGAAATCAATAATGGAACTTCTGGTATTCTTCTGCTTTCTAAAAATTCTGTACACAGAAGCTTCACTTGCTCCACAAGAAAAAGCTGTCTGTTACACTACTTCCGATACCAAAGCTTTTGGATGCGATTCTATTGTCAATGTATAAACATCATACTAATATCATATTAATAAAGCTAAAAACATTACTATATTAAGTTACAAGTTATAACGCACAACCTTAAAAGTCTTAATAAAACTAAAAAACTACTACACTTTAAATTCGCAAACAAAAGCATTCTTAAGGTCGATTCAGACACATCAGTCCCGTCATAGTCTCGGCGCCGAACCGGTCCTGTTTGGTCACAGAACTATCAACTATCTGACAGCTGGGAAACTGTTTGTCAACTGATGAGTGTGAATGCCGGCAACATATTTGTATTAAAGAATATTTTGTATGACGGATTGTTCGGTTCGGCGCAATCACTGTGACGAGACGTGACTGATGTGTCTGAATCGACCTTTAATGCGGAAAGAAACGTTAAGAACAAGATACACGCGGCTACTCCACCGATACTGAATAAAACAATTCCAGTCCTGAAACAATAGAGCATGCCTCTTTGTTTACATGGACTATCGTCTCGATAAAGATATAGAACTTTTAATAAATAAAATAGTGTAATAAATAATAAATTAAAGGACTGTAAATAAAAGATAATAAAACCATTACAGTATATTATGATCATGACAATTTTATAATTATTATAAAATCTTTCTCATCAAACAGTTATGATAAAAACTATTCAGTTCTAACTTAGTTGTATCTTAACAACTAAAGAAGTCACATTGTGGTGAAACATCCATGTATATGTAAATGCAGTGGAAATTATTAAAAATATACTTTGAATTTATCTTTTTTATATAAATTAAAGAAATTAATCCATGGCTGATATAAAATCTCTTCATTTCATTTTTAAATTAAGATTGATAGGAACTCCCATACCTGTATTCTTAAGAAGTATCTTTTTTGTGTTTTATTACATTGCTAGTTAATTTTTTTAGTTTATATACTGCTTGAAGTTGTTCTGTGATTTTGAAAGCTTTTTTAGTTTTAACTGTCTACTATTACATATTTGTCTTTAATTTATTTTTCTATTCTGATATGTGTTTTCTTAAATTTTTGTTCTGTTCAACCTTTTTAGAAATATAAATACCTAGATAGACCCTAGTTAGGGTGTGTCTATCTGGTACAGACCAAAATCTGAGGGTTATTTAGATCTAAAAAATATACTGGTATAAAAAGAGGCTAGAAATTTTTTTTTTAAATAGAGGTTATCTAGATTTTTATTGCTATTATATTGCTTTCGTCACTTGAAATTATATTGAAATTTCTTATAATTGGCAGGTCATTTTTATGGGCTATTGTTTCTATTTGGTTGGCTATAATGGTTTATTAATTTGATTGCCTTTTCTTTCATTCCAATGTTAAAATAATGGTTTTAGGGACAGTGAGTCTTTTTCATGCGAATTTGACTTTTGCATTGGAGTCAAGATTGTCTAATATTTTTCTCTGGTTCCTACTTTCATGATATGTTTTTAAAGTGCATGAAAATTATATTCAACTCATTATTACATTCTTCCTTGTATTTTAAAATTTTAAAATTCCTATTTAAAAAAGGATTTGTTGCATATCAGTTTGCATATTGATAATATTTTACTTTTAGATATGCTTGCTTTAAAGATATAGAAGACAATATTGAACAAAATGGAGGAGGCTTAGATAAATTCACACAAGGATATAAGTATTATGGAATTAATATCCAACAGGACAATACAATTATATGTAGGGAATGGGCACCAGGAGCACAGCAGTTATTTTTAACTGGGGATTTTAGTAAGTAGATTGCCTTATGTTATGTAGATGAGAACAACTCTTATTTTTACAAAAACTGATGATGAAAATCATTAATTTTTTTATTTAATATTTTTTAGGTGGAGATTAGTCATTTTGCTTCATTTCATAGGTAATTCTTGAGAAACACATCACACATTAGCATTAAGTGTAATTTGATCTTATAAAAAAAATTACAACGTATCAAACTGTAAGAATTATTTTATTTATTGCAGTGGCTATTTTAATTAAATAATGTGTCAAAATTTAATAAGCTCCACTTTCGAGTCTCAGAAGTAACCTTACCATTTCCAAGATCTAACAATTTCAAAGTTCTGTGCGGTGCCTGTAATGACCTCTTGTGGACCAATGTACATTCATCCTAAACGAATAATTTGTTATTAAACCTGTAAAATCTTTGCCATTGCGCTTTTTTTGGCGATGTTGCAATCTGGTGTTTCATTGTTTTGTATGTTTAATGGTAATTTCAAGGCAAAAGGTGCAGTTCGTCCGCTTTCTAATAAAGTTACAGATATTCAAGAAGAAGCCAACGCTAGGGCTGCTACGATCTGATAGTTGAAAGTAACAATAAAATTATTAATGTTTGTTCTGTCCATCTCGGAGCATTAAGGAAGTAAATTCCAACAGATTCAATGTTCACAGCTTCTTTTAAAATATCATACGCAATCCTTTGTTGATACAATTGTAAGAAAATTTGTTCCAAATATTTCGGAAAATGCTTCAGTCTTGAATTGTTGGTCTCTTTATAACTATTGTTCTCTTTCATAAAGTCACAAAGGAAATGACTAACAATTACGTACTGTCAATTATTAATAGCGCCTCATAAATATTATTTGAAAGATATATTAAGTTAAGCTATATTAAAAACTATGTCTAGATAATAAACTAAAATAAAAGACAGATCAATTTTATTTTGACATGAATTTTTATACTGCGGGTCTATTAATATTCATCAAATTTCAGATTTGATTATATTTTATTTTATTCTATTTTATTTCATTATATTTCATTTTATTCTATTTTATTTTAATTTTTTTTACTTTATTTGATTCTGTTTTATTCCATTTTATTGTATTTTATTTCATTTTATTCTAGTTTATTCTATTTAATTTGAATTTTATTTTACTCTATTTTATACTATTTTATTTTATTCTAATTTATTTAATTTTATTTTGTTTTAATTTTATTTTAATTTAATTTATTTTATTTTGTTCTATTTTCAACTAATATATTTTATTTTATTATACTTTATTCCATTTTATTTTATTTTACTTTATTTTACTGCATTTTTCTCTATTTTGTTCTGTTTTATTCTATTTTACTCTACTTTATTCTATTTTATTTTACTTTTATTTTATTTTATCCCCTTTTATATTATTTTTATTTTATTTAATTTTATTCGGTTTATTTTATTTTATTTAATAAACAATTTCTGACTTATCGTTAAACTTAAAATTTACCTATATAACAATATATGTATATGTTATCAAGTCTACCTTTAAAATAAAGGTAACTGTTTAACTTTGTCATTCAGCTTTTTGCGTTTCGTTTTCTCTTTTGTAATAAAGTCGTTGTCCAGTCACCAGGTGAACAGCTAAATTAACTACAGTGGAATGACGTTTGTGTATGGAAAATAAAGAGATTCTCAAAACTGTCTCATTGGCATATCTTCCCATCTGATATGTCGAAGCTTCGTTGTTATTATTTGCAGCTGCAATACCAATTACAGCCATGTCGTTATGTCTTCTTCTTTCTTCTTCGTTTCTTTTGTTACGATTGTATAATCATTTACCCAGTACATGTAAAGTTATGCTCGTCTTGCTCTAGGCAGTGCACAAGCAGGGATAAATTTCTGTTTACTGCTAATTGACAGCTGGGTGATACTGAATGATCACCTTTTTCACTTGTTTATCTTCTCCCTGTAATAGAGGGGGAGGAAGTGTTCCATACATTTAAGGTTAGATTAGACTTTTCTCGTTTGGGGGTAGCTTCTAAACATTCTCACATTATGTTTATGGGTAATGCTACCTTCGGTTAGGATTATGGATTTTAAGGACGTAAATTTTTATGTTAGGATATTTCCAGTACTTTCTAAATGTGTTTTTGTTTTTCTAATTTTGACAAGTAAAAAAATTTTTTATAGATCTATTACTTATTAGAAAGAATTTGATAAATTTATGAATTATTTTTATACCTTTGTCAGAGGGTTTATATAGAGTACTATGTAAGATATTGGACTCTATTCCTGCTTTTAATATTTCTAAATACAGATCCATATTTTTGTGTCTTTTTATGGAAAATTCAAAGAAGATATGGATCACTGTTCCAATCATTCACATATCGGTGTTTCTGTTTTACCTATTTTGTAAAGATAGCAAGGAGTTTTACATAACATTATATATACAGGGTGTCCCATAATTAATTGAACATTAGCTAATGTCCAATTAGTGGGTGATAGTTGACATCAAAATAAAGCGTTTGAGCTCAAATTGCTTAGGCAAAATGTTGCTAGTTTTCGTTCTACAGGGTGATTCATTAATATTTTTTTATATTATTTTTAGGGATATATTGAAAATATTCAACCGATTTAAGTAAAAAATAAAAAAAATATACCAAAAGTAAAATTTGGTATCTTGCTATTATTTAGTATGATTAATATGAAAATAATATAAGTTCTACGATGACACTAGGTGGCGCTACCTACTATAACATTGGTTCATTAATGGGGCCATAATTTTTTTTTCGCCCTGTAAAAACACTCTAGGAAAAAAACATGAAATAACATTCAATTCTACACAAAAAAGGTATTCGTGTTTCAAATCAAGTACACCGTTTTCGAAATAAACGTATTTTTTAGAGACGTACATAAAATAAAAAAATTTTACAAAAACTTATGTAAATTATTGAAATATTATTCAAAAGGTCTTAAATAAAAGTGAATATTAAATGTATTAGTAGTAGATAATTTTTGCAAACAAAATGCATATGATTAAAACAATTATTTTTATTAAACCTTTGACTCAGTAACAAATTTAAAAAAAATCAGAAATTAAATTAAACAATGAAGTGAATATAAAACAATTAACAAAGTGAATAATTCAAAACGAAACGAAAAAAATTACAATAAGTATTCAAAATGTGCACCATTAGATAAACTACATAATCTAAATCTTTTGTGTAAGTTTTGTCTTATTTTAAATAATGAGTTTGGGCCCTAATTACGTTAACTTCCTCTACAATATTTTGCCATAACTCTTGACGGTTATTTATTTTTTTTATAAACAAGGGACTTTAGGTAGCCCCACAAGTGAAAGTCTAGGGGATTTAGTTCGGGACTGCGTGCTGGCCATGAGTATACACTACCTCTACCAATCCACATTTGAGGATAAATTTCATCTAGATAATTTCTAACTTCTAGGCTATAATGTGGTGGTGCACCATCATGCATGTGCCAAGAGTTCCGTCTCAAATTTAGAGGTATGTCTTCTAAAAGAGTTGGTATATCTTTTCTCAAAAAATTTAGATACGCTACTCCGTCAAGCCTAGTTGGTAATTCGAATGGTCCTACAATACAATCCCGAAATATGCCACACCGTATATTTATGGAAAACTCGTGTTGAAAATGATGTTCTTGGAATGCATGAGGATTTTCTGTCCCGTAGGTATGGCTATTGCGCCAGTTAAATACACCCCTTTTAGTAAATGTGGTTTCATCGGTAAATAAAATTTTATTATAAAACGTTGGATCGTCTAAATGCCGCCCCATCATAAACTGACTAAATCGGAGCCTTGCTGGAAAATCCTGTGGTAAAAGATTCTGTACTGGAGTAAAATGATACGGATACAGATTTTCTGTCCGTATTATTCTTGACACAGTAGATTTGCTTATACCAGTGACCGCAGAAACATGCCTTGTAGTGGTTTCTGGATCTTCTGCAATACGTACAACAATTTCATCCTCCATATCCGCATCAATTACTCTCGGTCTTCCATCATTCCTGTTTTTGGGATGAAATGACCCTGTTTCGTCTAATCTGTCAATGATCTAATAGTTTTATGGTTTGGTTGCCTTCTATTGGGATAAAGTTCGAAATAGAGTTCAGCTGCTTTACGAGAAGAAAAATTTTCCTGGGCATACAAACAGATCATATCGCGCATTTCTACATTAGAAAATTCACTATGACGTGGCCTTTTTCCTTTATCTTAAGTAGTTTATAAAAAACTTAATACCACTGCACTTTGAAAACTAATAATAAATAAATTCGTAGTTACCTTTGAAAACTAATAATAAATAAATTCGTAGTTACGTCTTGACGTTGTCATTAAGTTCAAAGCATACTTGTTATGCAAAAAATTAAATAGAGACATGCATCATTAACAAAATACGTTTATTTCGAAAACGGTGTACTTTTTGGATTTGAAACAAGAATACCTTTTTTGTGTAAAATTGAATGTTATTTCATGATTTAGAATGTTTATACAGGGCGGACAAAAAAATTATGGCCCCATTAATGAACCAATGTTACAGTAGGTGGCGCAACCTAGTGCCAATGGTAAAACTAATATCATTTTCTTATTACGCATACTAAATAATAGCAAGATACCAAATTTCACTTAAATCGGTTGAATAGGTTTCAATATATCCATAAAAATAATATAAAAAAATATTAATGAATCTCCCTGTAGAACGAAAACTAGCAACATTTTTCCTAAGCAATTTGAGCTCAAACGCTTTATTTTGATATCAGCTATCACCTATTAGCTAATGTTCAATTAATTATGGGACACCCTGTACATATTATCAAGTCTACCTGTAAAATAAAGGTAACTTTTTAACTTTGTCATTCAGCTTTTTGCGTTTCGTTTTCTCTTTTGTAATAAAGTCGTTGTCCATTTACCAGGTGAACAGCTAAATTAACCACAGTAGGATGACATTTGTGTATGGAAAATGAAGAGATTCTCAAAACCGCCCCATTGACATACCTTCCCATCTGAGATGTTGAAACTTAATCGTTATTATTTGCAGCCGCAATTCCAATTACAGATATGTCGTTATGTCAATATATCAATACTGACATATTATTTTTTAATCATAGTGTTGCGCCATCTATTAGTTATATTGCGATTTAAAATAACGGAAAACAGAAAAACTGTTTTTTATCATCATCATCATTTTGGCTTTACAACCCTGTGTGGGTCCTAGCCTCCCCAAGAATTCTCTTCCAGTCGTCCATATCCATCGCGTTCCTCCGCCAAGCACGTATTTCCATATTTCTCATATCTTGGTCTATGTTATCTAGGAATCTTGTTCTGGGTCTTCATCTTCTTCTTTGACCAAAAGGTCTATCAAGGAGCGTTTTTCTAGCTGAGTCGGTTTGCTCCATCCGCATTACATGGCCTACCCACCTCAGACGTCCTATCTGTTTTTTACTCTTTACATATAATTTTTGGAAAATTATCCTTTATAAAAGCCTTGTCCTGCAATTTTATTGCAGTCGTTCTGAAGTTATGCTTGTACAAACATTTCGGTGATTCATTTTTATTAATATAGATATAATTATTATTTTAATGGGAAGAAGCCACAATTAAAGTTTAAAATAAGTTTATTGACGTTTCAATTTCCACTTCGGAAATCGTTCTCAAAATAGAAACAATAATAAATTAAGCAAATTTTGTTTTTTCTTACTTGGTGAAAATATAGGAATATCAACTGGTATTGTTTTTGAGTAATTTTTAATGTTGACATAAGTGCAAGTAAAACACGTAATAAATCCAAGTCTGGAATGATCCAAAAATCTTTTTAAAATGTAAATAGTGTCATAGCCACTCCTTAGGTTGCAACACTTCATCCTATAGTTTTTGATGTTTGTTGCAATGTAATTAATTTAGTCCTTCCTATGAATATCGTCACTCATAGAACGCCAATCCTCAACAAAATGTGACTGTAGATTCAAATTGTGTTGGAATATAAACTAACAAGGTTTATAAACCGTTGGACAGAAGTGCCGATAATCAGTTTTTGTGCAGTTCATATACAAACTTTTGGTAGTGGTTGTAAAGTTGAAAGTTTGTCATAGTCGCAAAGTAATTACCTAATAATTTTTATTTGTAGAATCACGACCTGCATAATGTTAATGCAGTAAATTGTTTTTATTCCTTTTTGTCTAATATTAATTTTTAATATTACTGTTAATTATATAAATAAATATAAATTTCATGTATTTATAAAATAAAATTATTTATTAAACCTGCTTAAGCTGATATAAGTTTACATACATTTTAACCACTTTTAATTAATAAGTATTACGATATTGTAATAAAATTGAATCAGTATCTGTATAAATAATATAATAAATATAAAAAGGTATAAAAAAAAGTATACAAAATTGACTCAATCTTAATTAAAGAGTAAACAAAAAAAAAACTAATCAAAGAGTATTAATTTTACTGAATTCAGATATCGTTTCCAACAAAAAATCAATATTTTATGTGTACCTATGCTCTTTATTATATTTATTTTTTTGTAATGTATAAAAATACTATAATATAAAAATGAAACAGTAACAGTAAAAAACATAAATAAATTAATTGCTCTGGATTTTGATTCCAGGTCCATAAGAATACTAGCTGCATCCTTTATCCAATCTTTTAACCATCAAATCTTGTTTTTACAGTTATTATCAGAGGTTTGTATGAATTGTGCAGACAATTTGTTAATCAGCGCCTTTATCAACCAGATTCCAAACCTAGTTTATATATACAGTTGACATGGAGGACATGGTATCCAAAAGAGATAACCATCTATATGAATATCAATATTTATTACTTCAGTTCTTCTCTCTGTCTGATTCGTCTTTCTCAATAATTTTGGTTTTGTTAAACATTATTTGTTACCAAAAGGCATTTGTTTTAACATTTTTATTTGCATTTTCGATTAATAGACTGTTAAAAATTTTTTCTTCTGAAAATTCCTTTTTCTTACATTTATTTATATAAATGCAATTTATATAAATGCAATAAATATGATCTAATAACATCAAAAACTTAGTCTAATAATTGCTGAGTTTGATTTTAGAGAAAAAATTACATCTGATAAATATATTTGAATCAGATAGCTGTATAGCTAGAGTACTAAAAATATGTTGATAATATATTATATAGATATTCAAGTATTTAACAGTTTAACATATTTACTTCTTAATTAATTTCTTTATTTTGTTTATAGATGGTTGGAATAGAGATAGTCACCCATACAAAAAATTAGAATATGGAAAATGGGAGTTAATATTGCCACCCAATCAAGATGGTTCACCAGCAATACAACATTTATCAGAGTTAAAGGTAATGTACAAATTAGAAAAAACTAAATATAATTTAAGGAAAAATTATACGGGTTTAACCCCTATTTAACCAGAGCAAAAATTTTAAGTTTAAATTACCTTTTAGGTTGTAGTTCAGACATGGGAAGGTCACAAAGTGGATAGGCTGTCACCATACGCAACATATGTAGTAGAGCCTCCCAAACATGAAGGAACTATTTATAAACAGAAGTTTTGGAATCCTCCACAGACTCAAGTAAGTATATAAGTAAATACAATTAATTAATATTTTTTATTTATCATTTAACAACTTACTGAAATGTTCTACGCATTGCCAATACTTTCCCACCGTACATCCTGGTTGAACATCTGGATGTCTATTTCATTTATCTTTGCATATATATATATATATATAATATATATATATATATATATATATATATATATATATATATATATATATATATTATATATAATATATATATATATATATATATATAGGACAAACAAATCGTAGAATCCAAAATAGGATTTATGAACATTCCATTTGTGTTGTCAATTCCAATTCAAGTCAGCACTATCTTCATACAGGTTATAAAATTGATTTTGTAGACTCTAGAACCATAGCCCCATGCGCTTCTATAAACCAAGAATTATCCGAGAAACCATAGAAATTGAAAAAAGACCAAATTGTCTCAATAAAAGAGGTGACGGCATCCGGATACCTTAGACATTGAAACCTCTCATAAAGAAAATATCGTCCGCTCCACCCTCCAATCAATATCCCGCCGTCAGAAATAATCCCCACGCCAACCTCCACCCAATGCATTGATTAGTAATCAGTGTAGTAGTGTCTGGGGGTTCGGGAGACTAAGACCTCGAAGCCCTGAAGAAGACATTAGAGGAGATGTCGAAAGCTCGGCGCAGTGATAATCGACGCGGTTCAACACGGAAGCCTGTTGAGTTTAATATTAATTATTGTAATAGTATTAATCTTATCTTTAGGTTTTATATATACATCATATTGATAAAATATGATGAATAAAAAAAGATAAAAATCAAAAGTTTAGTTCAATGGTTTAAAAGACTATAGATGAAATGCAATTCTCTCATTCAGGAGTTGGAGACTAAAAACCCCATGGTCTTCTAGGAAGAAGTTTGTTCTTCGAAGGCTACTGAACCAACCTGTATGAAAATGGACATGCAAAAATTTTCCATTAGCGCTGTAAAGGGAATCACTCAAAGGGAACATTTACGACCAAAGCTGAGCTTAAATACTCACCTCAGAATATTTACTGCATTATTAATTAATATTATTATTATTCAAATTTAGGCATACGGCTCACACTCCCTCTAAGAGGAAAATTCACTCATCCCAGATATCTACGGTATCAAAAGTGGGACTCTTTCACACTTTCTTTAAATTTTTAAAATGGGCAAAGCTACATTATGTATGGAAACATGTGACATAATGTTGAGGTGACATTTCCGTTGACCAGGAACCATTCTGTCTCCGGTTTCCATACATAATGTAGCTTCGCCTATTTTAAAAATTTTAAAGTGTTTGTCCTTGTGTAGTGTAGTGTGATGTTTAATTTTATGTTTATAACATTTTATTCTTGTTGGATAGGCCACAATTGACGAAATGCCCTTGAAGATGTTCTAGGGAGCGAAAGTAATTGGGCAAGATTAAATTAATAAAACTGTGTTCGATATATGCCTTTTATTTGATCAAAGTTCATTTATTCGAGCATTTAACCTTATATCAATTTACATCAATAAGTGTTGTTTTCCTAGTAAGTTTATTAACTAGTATGAGATCCGGTCTATTATGTGCCATTGGTTGATCTATGAGCACAGTGTGGTACGAGTATAGCGTGTAGTTGTCATTTTCAGCGTATAAAATATTTTAGACAGGACTATGTCACCGTATGGCACTATATGCGGAACGGATAGTAGGAAAATACTAGGCTGGCTTCAGAAGCGGTAAATCGACAATTCATTAGATTGCAACCCTGAAACAAATTTTGGAAAAAAACACTGGAATTTGGCATTGATACTCATCACATATTTATAGACTACAAAGCAGCTTACGAATGTGTAAATAGAAGAGAAATAGTTAAAGCAATAAAAGAGCTAGGAATACCAAATCAGTGCAAATCCTGGCCTATGCTTATGATATCAATATTGTTAGGAGAAAGGAAAACGATGTACGAGAGGCGTATGTAGAATTAAAAGAATCAGCTACAAAAATGGATTTAATAATAAACACCAACAAAACACAAAGTATATGAAAATAAGCACGCAACCAAACTCCTTCTTAAATCCACTATTATATCGAGAATATATATATATATATATATATATATATATATATATATATATATATATATATATAGAAAAATTATATATGGAAAAGATATATACAAAAATAAAACTCTACAAAACAATAATACGCCTAGTCCTGATATATGGTTCAGAGACCTGACTCTGAGGAACAAAAAATAAGGAAAACATGTTTCGAAAGAAAAGGCGAATCTATGGAGCAGTGAATGACAATGGAGTGTGGAGATGACGAACCTAATATCGTAAAACATAAAGATAGGACGTCTGAGGTGGATAGGGCATGTAATGCGGATGGAACAAAATGACCCAGCTAGAAAAACGCTCCTTGATAGACTCATTGGTCAGAAAATAAGAGGGAGACCCAGAACAAGGTTCCTTGATATCATTGATGAAGACATAAGAAATATGGGAATACGTGCTTGGCGTAGAAAGTGGATGGATAGGGACGATTCGAGAGAAATTCTTGAGGAGGCTATAACCCACGCAGAGTTGTAAAGCCAGAATGATGATGATGTCATTTTCAAAAATTCTGTCAGTGACGTATTGATAATAGGGAAGATGGTCGGTTTGGAGAAGTTACAGTTTGTCAGCTAGTTCTTAGTGGATAATCTTTCCTACTGAGTCATGGCGTTGTTCATTATTAGTACTGATAAATGCCTGGCAGCCACCGGTAAGTTGTTGGAAGGTTGCTTGGGCTTGGGGTTTCATTTATAATTTTGGACTTGAGGATCTTTAACAATATATTTCAGGTAATTTTTAGTAATCTCGGTAAGATGTCGCCAATACAGAAGTTTACTCATGCGTGTGCATTTTTTCTTGCTTGGTCAGGTGGTTTATGCGCAATTTTTGTCCTTCCCCCAGTTTAAGCGGCGTTGTATCATCTCCTGCGCAAATTGCTGGATGTAAAGTAGATGTCTCAGCCTGTGCCTGAAAATAAGTTCTTGTTATTAATTATACCATTATCTTACCATCTTATTAATAATTATTATTATACTAATATTTACAACATTTATTTTGTTATTTTTACTACCTAATTATATTAACTAGCTTTTATATCAACACGATCTTATGAACAAACATGTCATGTCTTTCTATATATTTTTTAACTTTTTAGAGATACATATTTAGACACAAAAAAGTACCTCGTCCTAAAAGCCTGAGGATTTACGAATGCCACGTTGGAATAGCAACTCAAGAAGCAAAAGTTGGAACTTATGACAACTTTACTGATAATGTTCTTCCTAGAATCGTTAAACAAGGGTACAACTGTATTCAGTTAATGGCTATTATGGAACATGCGTACTATGCTAGTTTTGGATATCAGGTAATGTTAAATAATAAGTTTGGCCAATAATTTGCTAGTATGCATACGTGTATGTATTCACATCTTTGGTACTTTAGATTTAAAACTTTTGTTTTCGCATAATTTGTATTACTTTTTATTAGGTTACCAGCTTCTATGCGGCATCTAGTAGATATGGTAATCCCGAAGAACTTAAGCGTTTGGTTGACAGAGCGCATGAGTTGGGATTAATGGTATTATTGGATCTTGTACATTCTCATGCCAGTAAGAACGTAATGGATGGCCTTAATCAATTTGATGGAACTGATTCCTGTAAGTAGCTATAAAATTTTATGAATCAATTAGTAATGAAATGTATGTTTATTTAAGGTTTCTTCCATTCTGGTCCAAGAGGCGAACATTCTTTATGGGATTCTAGATTGTTTAATTATTCAGAATTCGAAGTACTCCGTTTTCTTCTTTCCAATATAAGATGGTATATGGAAGAGTACCGCTTTGATGGTTTCCGTTTCGACGGTGTCACTTCAATGTTATACCATTCTAGAGGAATCGGTCAAGGTTTTGGTGGTCACTATGACGATTATTTCAGTTTAGGTGTAGATACAGAGGGGTTGGTTTATCTGATGATGGCCAACCATATGATTCACAAACTACACAGTGACGCCGTTACTATTGCTGAAGATGTGTCTGGTATGCCAGGTACATGCCGTCCAGTCACAGAAGGTTGTATGGGATTTGATTACAGGTACAATTTTTTTTATGACAATACATTTATATCTTTTTTATATTTAAATCAACTTTATTGCCTAAATTTAATGTAGATTAAGATTTTGCCATAGTGTGAGTCACTGTTGCACCAAACACACCCAGTGTTTTTTTTTTTTTTTTTGACTTTATTCAGAATATTTTCAGAATTTTTTGTAGTTTGAGATACTCACGATGTCTGATATCAAACACACTTTTATTCGATTATCTTGTTTATATCATTGTTTACAAGATCAGACACTGGAGTTGGTGTACTGTCAAAACTGATTGTCAAATTTAAGCTGTTAATGGTGATTCTTCGAGATTAAAAACAAGATTAGTTCGAAATTGAGTCATCTTTGTGTTAGAACATGTGATGGTTAGGGTTTATGGAGGTAGGTTACTGTACTTACACGACCTAGAATGGGTCCAATGTATCCGCCTATAACGTCTGGCTTAGACCTTAGTGATAGCCCAGTCTTCGACGCATCGGATTACCCAGTTCTTCTGAGCCGCTGTTTACCTAGGACGTGAGGTGTGCTATCTCTAATAGGCCAATGCTAGGTGCTAACAGAGGACATGTGAGAATGTTTCGTTTCTTTATCATATAAAAGAGAGCTTTGATCAATCACTAATCTGAGTAAATGTATGTCCATAAGTATGTAATGGTCAGTGAACATCTCCTTCGATTAATGAGAAGATTGGATGTAAGAATATGTGAAGACTTCGCTACATAGAGCCTAACCTGTCTCATGTTCTCTCTATCGATCAATGACAAGAACCTCTTTGATACAAGTTTCTAATACTACCTCGACCAGTACTGAAGGATACTTCAATGACTAGCTCTTGTCGAAGAGGCAGAACAAACGAGCCTTGTCTAGCAAGGACATCGGCCCGTTCATTTCTCTCCACAACCTAGTGATTTTGTTGATCAAATTAACAAGTTGCAGTCTAGAACTAGCGCCAGTTGGCTATGTATTTATTGAACATTACCCGTATTAGTCTAAGATCCCATTGCAAGATCACTACGTTCATAACGTATTTAATCAAACTCACATTTTATACATACATTTAAGAAAAGGAGAATACACAGGAAACCTGTTATCAATGTATTCTCCTATTCTTAAATGTAGCGATCTTGTACTATATCAGCTTTTTAAATGAAAAATAAACTTATGGGTTAATTTTTTTATTTCTACATGCGTTACCTGTAATAAATGACACCAACTGATCTATCAATTAATACTTTTTATTTTGATGCAGCACATTTGTTGTTTTTTGAAAAAATATACTACGTTTCGACAAAGAAATATTCTGCCACGATTTTTGAATTCTAAAAAAATTTAAATCCTTGAATACAATTAAGACTGTTTCGTTATAGATTGGCTATGGCTATACCTGATAAATGGATACAACTGCTAAAACACAAGTCGGACGATTCGTGGGACATAGGCAACATTATACATACATTAACAAATAGGAGATGGATGGAAGGCAACGTAGCATATGCCGAATCTCACGATCAAGCCTTAGTCGGAGATAAAACTATCGCGTTTTGGTAAGTAGATTATTATTTTTATGCAGTTTAATCCAATTTTTGTTTTAAAATAAATATTTGACCATTTCATATAAATGAAATTATGGCATCTAAAATTTACGTACTTTACATACTAAAAAAAAGATAACAAAAAATGTATCATCATGAGAGACATATTTATCAGAATTGATCAGAAAGATAGAGTACTTTCTATTAGCAAGTCTAAAGAGAGCAAAATAATGGTGATGGAACGTACCGAAGACGAAGACAGCTGGGAAACTTCAGGAAAACATAATTTAGTAGCTAGTAATAAGTAATTGATAATTTGATACGTCATAAACTTTTAATCAACTGAATTTTGACAATGATCTAAAAGCAGAAACGTTAATAAATGAATATCATGTAAAAAATGTCAAATTATATTTAGATTGGCATCTGGTATGTACTAGAGAGGTGAACTAATTCATAAAATAATATCAAAACAATTAAGTTGCACATCCTATATTCAAATCTATAAATTGTAAGCTATATGTAGTTTTTGTAAAAACTAAATTTCGTTTTTGTTTTCTGCCAGTAAGCATTTTTTCAAACAAGAAAAAGCTACTTACATATTTTTCTAAAACAATTCTCTTCTATTTATATTTTTCTTAAGTTCTTTGCATACCATTAATTCGATTTCGATGTCGTCACAATGCAACGAATTGCTTAGAATTTTTCCAAGTAAATTCCAAAATTTACGTGAACAATAACGATCATTAATATATTACAGCTACGTGATATTCTCTGTACGTCAATGGGCCTTTAATTTATGTGGCGGAAATTCCAGTTATGAACTGTAATTACTATTTACATAGTTGTGACACGCATTTTATTTATTCCACAAAGCTTTGTGAAATATAAATTGAGAAATCTAGAATACTGTGAATAAGCAATTATTTTGTTGCCTACAAAAAGGTTTTTTTTCTTTAATGGACATGTCTGATCCAAACGATCTCCGTTATCACTGAAGCTGAAGCTTATTGTATTTACTCGTCATTGTTGTTTCCTACAGCCAGTCTAGAATTTTTGTACCTGTAAAAATTTGTACAGGTGTTGGCTTAACAGTCGCAGTTTTTTTCCTTTTAGATGAATTATAAAATAAAAAATATCATCAATCATATGATAATATATAATATGGATGAGGCTGGTATTCAGACGGTCCCTAGTAAATTGCCAAAATTTTAGCACATAAAGTTAAAGACACATAAACAAGTTGGTTTCCTAACAAGCGCTAAAAGGAAACAAAATTGTTGTTTTTTGTGTAAATGCTTAATTCATGACTTCAGTAATAATATTCCCCTGCCAAAGAAGGAATGAATTATTAGCTTTGTTCGCTGATATAGTTCCTGACTAGTTTCGGCCAATTAGCGATTAATGTCGTGCGCTGGCGTGATAAGTTATTAGTTTACAGATTTCATTTCTTCGTGAACATTTTTTGGACATTCGAAAAAATACACAAAAATTTCTAACTTTAAACATAGCATATAGAACCAATAAGTATCTTATGGTTTTGTATTATATATATATATATATATATATATATATATATATATATATATATATATATATATATATTCATAAAGTTTACGTTAAATTTTATTTTCTAGACGAAATTGTCGAAATGGGTAGGTAAAAAAAACTAAATAAATAAAAAAATAAATAATGAAAAATTTTTTATTTTAAAAATTAATCATAATGTTAGGATTAACCAACACAAACAAAAAACTTAACAATTTATAGTTTCTGTTAGTATATCGCTTTCACTAACTAAAAATCTGATCATGAACCAGTTAGAAAAGCTCAAACTTTTTGTCAAACGTAACTGCGCATGCAAATCAGTCAGAAACCAATCATGGATTGTCTCCACGAATACAGCGATTAGTTCAAGACGCCCCATACGGAATACTTTCTCTTTACAACGAATCTGGATAATAATAATAATATCGTATGGCATTCTTGCAGAGGAGATCCTTTGGGATCTTTAATCCTTTTTTTAAGTGGCTAGTATTGATTCACACACTAGACCAAGGGACCGAGGTTTTAACTTGCTCTCCGAAACACTGTGAACGGCTCGTATAATTTTTAGAAATGAAAATGTTGTTGTTGGTGCCGAGATTGGAACTCGTGGTCTCTGGATGCTCTCGTGCTTAGTTGAAAATAAGGTCCTACTATTGCTTAATGTTCATTCAAGCCACAAGTCCGCCGAAGCTATAGAATACTGTAGAGAAAATAGTATTATAATGCTGTCGTTTCCTCCACATTGCACGCACGAGATAAAGTAATTATGTTTAGTATTTTCACCTCTAATAGTGTGGAAGTTATTTTATGGCTTAAAATAAACCCTGGAAAAGTTGTAACTCTGTAAAATATAGCTAGCTTGCTACTACCGGCATGTTATTAGCATACTGCTACTATATTCTGCTCGAACGACATCGCCTGCACAGGTTTATTAATATTGCTCTGAAATTCGAAACGTCGAAGTATACTTATTTTAAAATTAAATTGTGGCTTATTCCCATTAACAGTAGTAACTTCCTGCGTGTTTTGCTCGGATTTATTCAGGAAATTTTACGCCAAAGAGGTTTGGATTAAGTGCAATTTATACAATAAATGGTTTCATTTATTGTGTGCGGATGTAACTGGGAAGCAGATATTGTATATTTGCGAGTTATTACTTTTCTGTACAAAAGAACTTGTTGTGATTTGTCTCCATTTCTACAACACAAGTAGCGGGCCAGATATTGGAACTGGCTAAGTATGTAGACTTGGATTACCTTTTATTTTTCTGTTATGTGCGAACGAAAATGTACGTAGAGCGCCTGTATTTTTACACAAATCTTGAGAGGTTGAGATGTACCTACTGTCAGGTAAAGGGACCGAGAACGGAGTCTCTGAATTTCGCTTCAATCCAACATTTTATAGGAAATAGGGACTCATTAAATTTAACTGTCTGTAACGAAATTTAAACGTTCCAACGGTGGGTTATAGTAACCCACTTTTTCTACACACTGACGAAATAAATGCATAACAATAAAACTAAGATTTATTGCCCTTTTACGAGTTCCGAGAAAAAATAAACATTGACCAAGTTCTAGGTAGACAAAAAACTTGGTTTTTTCATATTTGAATTGGCGAAGCGGTTGGTACTAGAAAAAAACCTTTATGGCCAGTTGTGTTCGTAAGAATGATAACTTTTTATATTGAGAAGAGGAGAATTAGCGGTAACATAGTATCGAAGCGTGTTGATACCAAAAGAAACAACCTGTTTTAGCAGGAGTCTTAACGGAAAACGGAGGAGACAAGAAACTCGTTTTATTTGAACAGGGATATATCGAATATAACTAGAATATATTTTCGTGTTTTATTAATAATTGTTTTATTTTAATTGAAACCAAAATAAATTATGGATTATTGGTGATATTTTAAGACTAACAGAACTATAGGGGTCATTTTACTTATGGGCGGGGTCATACTACCCTAACTATTGTGTAAAACGGCCACATTAGAGCTTTTAAAAATCATGTTATTTTTATTTTAACTTTTATACCTAGACATAATTTTGTCAAAATGCTGCTATACCCCTCTTATTGTTTGAAAAAGCTGTACTTAATTATTTGCTTTTTTGTTAATTTTATTCAAAAAAAAAAAATGTTACATCATCATTTTGCCCTACACTCGCGTATAGACAAAAGTATCACCGTCTTTATGTTTTAGGTTAATGGATAAAGAAATGTACACGCACATGAGTACCTTATCCGACCAGTCACTCATAATCGATAGAGGCATTGCTTTGCACAAACTCATCCGTTACATAACTCACGGTTTAGGAGGAGAAGCTTACTTAAACTTCATTGGTAACGAATTTGGTCATCCAGAATGGCTAGATTTCCCAAGAGCGGGCAACAACAGCTCCTATCACTACGCCAGGAGACAATGGAATCTCGTTGATGATGAGATGCTGAAATATAAGTTTTTGAATAACTGGGACGCCGCTATGAACCACACAGAGAATAAGTACGGGTGGTTGGCTGCTCATCCAGCATACGTCAGTACAAAACACCAGGATGATAAGGTGGGTAATACATATTAAACAACAAGATGAACATACATAATTAATTTTATTTCTCTCCCTCTCTCTATAAGTCAAACCCTTCTAGTGGGGTATTGGACTCTTAGTGTTTCTTAGCCGAAAGTTCTTGAAAGATTCAGCATTGACTGGATCAACGCCTTTTTTGTTTATTCTTTTGAATTTTTTTTCAAGTTTTCTTCTTTGCATCTTCTCTTTTTCTTTGTAATAACCCTAGTTTTTATTCATTTTTTTCTTTTTTATTTCTTACAATCTTACAAGATATGAAAATATTTACCAAGAAATGATTTTTATTTAGAATAATTTCAATCAGCTCTGTTCTTTCGTTCTTTTTTCCCTTCTTAAACATATCTTTTCCTGCTTTGTTGGAGCATTTCTTTTTCAGCTATTATCTTGTCACTATTTAGGTGCAAATTTGAATGAACAGTGAGAACACTCGACGGAAACTAAGAAAGAATCGAGAAGACACGATCAGCTTTCGTCAAAATTAACAAAATCTATAACAGTCTATGCATATTCTGAAAAAAATTATGGTGGGTATTAAAAAATTAACGAGATATATAATAAAGATTATGTTTTCATTACAAAATTCATTTCATATAAAAATTACAATCGTATTCCCCCCTAGTTTCCCTCATTTTCCCATTTTTCTCTTTTTATTATCTGTTTCTTTTAGGACTATACTCTGTTTTTTAACCAGGAGGAGTAAACCAAAAAGACAGATTCACACTCAAGAAAGTTACTAGAAAAGTCACCAAATACATCTTCTTTTTTGTTGATTATCTCGGCCTTGCGGTAATCAAGTCATCAATATTGGACAACCTCACACGTCAATTTTACCTAACTTTGTTTATTTATGTTTGAATAATAAAATAAATTTTTTCAATTCACTTCCAATATATATATATATATATATATATATATATATATATATATATATCTTCTTCTTAGTCGTTAACCTGATGCAGGTATCGTGATATCATGAAGCTGTTAGGTAATTTTTCCAATGTTCCTCCACGTTTTTCTATCTTCTGCCAATCTAGCACATTCTGACAATGGAGCGCCAATGGTAGCAACAATATGGTCCGTGTATCGTGTAGGAGATCTACCTCTACTTCTTTTGCCTTCTACTTTTCCCTGGATGGTAAGTTTTTCAAGACCATTTCTTCGAAGCACATGTCCAAAATAGCTTATTATCTGTTCTGTTATTTGTGTTCTTAGTCTTTTCTTTATGTTTAGCTGGACCAGTATGGATTCATTTGTTCTTCGGGCCACCCATGGTATTCTCAGCATTCGTCTCCAGCAGTACATCTCAAATACATCTATGTTCTTTTTGTCTTTCTCAGTAAGGGTCCAGCATTCCGATGCATAAGTAAAAACTGGAAAAACTAGACTTCTTACTAGTCTCATTTTTGTATCGGTAGTAATTTCATGGCTTTTCCAAATTTTTGTTAATTTTGCCATAGCGCTTTTTGCGATTGCTGACCGCCGCTTTATTTCTTCAGTACAGCCTCCTTTGTTGGTTATTAATGAGCCCAGATACACAAATTTATCTACAACAGCGATATTGTTTATCCTAACCAGATGATTTTGATTGTTGTTAGCTCTGTCAATTATCATGATTCTCGTTTTATCCCTGTTTATTTTAAGGCCCATCGATAAGGTTACGTCTTCTATCCGTTGTAGCAGGTGAATCAATTCAGTTTCAGAACTAGCGAGGATAGTAGTATCATCTGCATATCTCAAGTTGCAAATCTTCTTCCCGCCAATGGTGATGCCACCGTTCCAGTCCTCAGTAGCTTTCCGCATTATCCATTCACCATAGATGTTAAATAAAATTGGGCTTAGTATGCAGCCTTGTCTCACGCCCTTTGTGACCCTGAAACTGTCAGTTAGTTCCCCATTTATTCTAACTCTGGCATAATTGTTATTGTACAGGCTTTTAATTAGCAGTATCAGATGATTAGGGACTCCCATTTCAGACAAAACCTGCCACATTTTACTCCAGTTGACCAAATCGAAAGCTTTACTATAATCTATGAAGCACAAATATGTTGTGATGTTGAATTCTCTGGATTTTTCTACAATCTGCCGTACGTTTAAAATTTGTTCTCTAGTACCACGTCCTGGGACGAAACCTGCTTGTTCCTCCGCAATGTTAGGTAGTAAAAAGGGCTTTATCCTCTCGAGAATTATGTGTAAGAGTATCTTACTGCAATGCGCAATTAGAGCAATTGTGCGATAGTTGCTACATAAATCTTTCGCTCCCTTTTTATGTATGGGAATATATAGTGATTGTGTCCAGTCCTCAGGCCATTTACCTGTCTCCCACACTCTTTGACAAATTTGATGTATTATATCCACTCCAACGTCATCTAGTGCCCAAATCATTTCAATAGGTATGTTATCTGGACCGGCAGCTTTTTGACTTTTTTGCCTCATAATTGCTGCTTCAACTTCACTTTTGAGTACGTCAGGTTCCGTCGCAAAACTGGCATCTTCTTGTTGTGATGGGGCGTCTGTGCTTTCCTCCATCATCAGTCGTCCACAGTATTCTTTCCATCTGTGTAAAATATCTTTTTTAGAAGTGAGTAGAGTTCCGTTATCATCTTTGATAGCAGGGTAGTTTGGTGTAAAGGAACGTGTTATCTGCTTTATTTTTTTAAACATGTCTCTGGTCTCAGTTTTGGTTTTATGCCCTTCTATTTCCATGCAGATTTTGTTCAAGTGTGTGTTCTTGTCCTTTTTGCAGAGTCGTTTTATTTGACCGTTCAGCGCTTTATAGGCCTCTTTATCACTTTCACTGTTCAGTCCTGTGGCTTTTAAGCACTTCCTCTCCTGTATTTTAGTCCACGTGGAATCCGTTATCCATTGTTTCCTTCTTTCTTCTCTATCACTCTTAATATTTTTCGCAGCATTATGCAATATCGATTTTGTTTTTGTCCATATGCTGTTTGAGGACTCGTCTGGATTTAATGATTGTTTGAGGTCACATAGCTTTTGCATTGCGGCTTTTTTGTACGGATCGTTATATCTTAGATGCCATTTAGTTGTTGTATTTCCTGTTTTTGGACTGTTTCTTAACTTCATGCGGAATTCAGCTGATAAAAATTGATGGTCGCTATTACAATCTTTTCCTGGATAGGTCTTAACATCCTTAACAGCGCTCCTCCAACGGGTTTTTACCAGTATAAAATCTATCTGATTTCTGTATCTATTTCCTGGTGATATCCAAGTGTATAGTCGTCTTGGGTGATGTTGAAAGCCTGTATTAGTAACAAACAGGTTGTTGTCTATACAAAAGTGTAGCAAGCGTTCTCCTCTGTCATTTCTTTGGCCAAGTCCATATAATCCGACGGTCTCTCGCAAGTAATGATCTTCTGTAGTTACACCAATTTTAGCGTTGAAATCGCCTACGACTGCTGTGATTTCTCTATTTGGAAGCTTCCTAAGCGTCTGCTCCAACGTACTATAAAATGTTTCGATTTCTTCATCGTGAGCTTCGCTTGTTGGGGCATATGTTTGTACCACATTAAGATTAACTGGACTGGCATTCATTCTGACAACAATTATCCGATCGCTGACGGTTATGTATTCTTTTACGGAGGTTTTAAAGGCATTATTTACTATCACTGCGACGCCATTCCGAGATTCGTTATCATTGTATTGTTGTATTGTATTGTAAATTGTATTGTTATTTTTCTCGTATTATTTCTATATATATATATATATATACAAACAACACAGTTTATTAGGGTTGCAGTCAGAAATATTGGCCGGGATGTTAAAAAAACACTCTTTTGACTTTTTGTCTAGCTTTCGGAATGGTTTTATTCCTTTTTCAAGACACTGTAAAAGACAATTATGTAAATATTTAAAAAATATCACAATACTTCAGTGTAACTTACTAGTCGTTGAGATTATTTTTGAAAGCATTGAACACTCAACATTTATATTAAAATATACAACACAAAATATACCACACACATTAAAATATACAATTATGGACAAAATACATCATAAAATTTTTAAAAATATTTGTTGGAAAAATAGTAAAACTTGATTGATGGCATGTTTTACTGGTGTATATTAACTCATACAGAGAATGGAAAGAAAAAACAGTGTAATTAATATGTAATTAGGTGTAAATTGGTGTTATCTTTCTTTACAAGAAATACTAGATTCCTTTCTTAGGTGTCTATACTTTTTTTAACCTGTCTTAATGGTATGCAACATATTATACAGAGGTGTAATTTTTGTACAGGTAAATATTTATTTTATTTTCGGTGTTTTTCTAGTAAATAACAATAAATGTTACTTAATTTGTCTATATCGGACTTTTTATTGATACAAGATGTGCTAGATTTTATGAAACACATTTCCAAAAAAACACGTTTTAAATGGTTCTTTTCTTTTGCCAAAATACAGGAATCATCGAACTTGAACTCATGTTTTAGAGTTAGTGCATGTTCTGTCAATGCACATGCATTGATTTTTTTGGTTTTTATGTCACTGCGATGTGATATCACCCTGCTGTGAAAATTACGAGATGATTCTCCTATGTAAATTTTATTACAGTTACTACACGGTATAGAATAAACAACATTCGATGACTCCTGTATTGTGAAAGGATCTTTTGTCTTTGTGTAAAGCTTCGATACTGTTTTCACATTTTTGGTTGTAATTTTTAAGCCACTAACATTTTTAAAGATGTTCATTAGCTTAGGTGTCAAAAATGGAATATAGGGTAGGCAACCATAAGTTATTTTAGATGGTAATATTGATGCGTTATGTGTCAATGTCAATTGTCGGATCTCATTGTTATGAAAATTTTGGTTGACAGAAACTTGTGAAGGAAAAGGAGAACCGAAAATGAGTTTATTTAACAGCCCTATGGGATAAGAATTCTCTTGTAGTATGGATCTCAACTTTTTTAGTCCCTTGTCTCTGAATTCTATGTGTGACAAATTGATAACCCTAGTTTT